CTGCCTTCGGCTCAGGTCATGATCCCAGGGTCCCGGGATCAAGCCCTCCATCAGGCTCCCTGCGGAGCGGAGAGCCTGCTTCTCCCTCTCCCTCTGCCTGCCGCTCTGCCTACTTGTGCTATCTCTGTTAAATAAATAAATAAATAAATAATCTTAAAAAAAAAGAAAAAAAGCATTCAATAGGCTTCTAGTTTATACAGAAATACTACTTGTCTTGTTGCTTTATAATGTCTTTGAGAGTGCATATGCGGTAAAAGATGTATTTTACTTTTTAAAAAATAAGTTCTCATGCAACAAATAAATATGCTCCTAAATTGACACATCTAAATACCCAATTAGGTTTATTTCTTATTAGTGTGGCACTCACCCTTACACATACAGTATTGGATTACATTGCAATGACTTGGTATTTTCTTAAGTTTGTGAGCAAGTATTTAAAGTATTTAGGCATCAGGACTCTAACATTTGGTTTGTGCTCTTATTCCTGGCTGTATCTCAGGGAAATATAGAAAATATGATTGGAAATACAAAGAATTTATTTGAAATTAGTCACAGCTCTATGTGACTTTGGCCAAGGTAGCACATATTCCATTTTTTTTTCCATCAGCAAACTGAGATAATAAATGGTAGTTAGATGAACTCGAAGACATTTATCTAACACAGCATCAATCTGTGACAAATATAAATTTATACACACACATAAACTCACATACAACATAGGCAGAGGTTATCCAACTACAGTTCTCAAAGGAGCCTAAGATTTTTTGTTTTGTTTTGTCGATTAAAACCCTATCAAAGTTATGGGACAACTTCCAGCACATCTGTTCTGGATAATATTACCATAATTATTTCCTCCCATTGAACATCTCAGCAGTACCAAAGCAATAAGCCAAGTAGAAGCAAAAATCTTATTATTAGGCAGTAATAACGGTCTCCAATTTTCTTCCTCTAATGTACGATAACTGAAGTCAATTAAATACTTCTGGTGGAATTCTCTGAATTAAATAAAGGTCACTTATACTTAACAGCTGTAAATGAACACTCACCTCTCAGCTAAGTGTAAATACAGGATCTGGCCTATTTTTACTACGGCAAGGTCCAGTCTGCCCCCCATCTGGGCCTGGGAAGTGGATAGAGCAGGCCACAGGCAGGGGCTTCTGGGGAACACACCAAGCTGCCAAGGTCCAGAATGCCCAAAACAGAGATGCCCGTTCCCCCGCAGCCAGATCTCACAGGAGCTCCTCAGTCTTGCCATCCAAGGCACTGTCAGCATGTCTGCTGATGAGGCACCTTGGAGACCTGACTCCCACAAGGCCCTATGCGCCAGCGCGGCACCTCTGGCTCACGTGGCCTTCCACGCTAGGCGTGGGGAACGCAGTAGGAGGAACCTCTGGCCCCCGGAGGATGACTGGCGAGGCTGCCGTGGCCCCTGTTAACTCAGGCCTAGAGTTCCAGGATGCCTGAAGGAAGGCACCGGAACAGTGAACTCTGCACGCGCGGTTCGTGCTGACTTGTCACCCAGGCTTCCTGAGATCTTCCAGAATCTGGGGAGCATAGAGCTAAGACAAGCCAAAGGAGAGAGGCTGTCCGGAATACCCGGAGCTACCAGGGTCCCTTCTCCTCCACAACAGGAGAGTCAAAACCGCGAAAACCAGATCTCGCGATACCTCAGAGCCAAACCTCCCGCGATCTCAGAAGCCAGTGCGGCGACCGGGGCTAAAGGAGATGGGCGGCACCTGTGAGTTACAATTGCTTACGTCAGCAGGACCTTACTCAGTATGATGTAATCACCTTTCCAGACTCTGAATCCACGAGAAAGTGGGCGTCCCCTGGTGCCTTTCAAAAATACTAACTGATCTAATTTAGCCTTGAATTCTAACAAATTAGTGAAAGGATCACATTATTTGGCTAAACTGTTTCTTCAGCTCCTGAAAATTATGGTGCCAGGGTTGAAATACCACCTAAGTGTTTTAAATCAACGTAAACAATATGACTGTTTGTGCAGTATGTTAGTTTAAGCCCCAAATCTGAAGTTTGGTATGTTTGCAGAAATGATAGCTGTTAAGCTCGCTGTGTTCTTCAAGAGTTTACAGTTCTTTTAAAAACATTTTAGAAATGCTAGAGAAGTCAATATTTCAAAATACAATACTGAATAGAAAAGCATACATTATAATGAGCCAATTACCTAACAGATTAGGAGAGAAATCTTTCTGGAGAATTCGTCTTTGCTTGAAATACACAGATCACTTTTATTAGATGCAGAACATTAAAGAAATAATTAACACATGGTCTGGTAAACTTTCAAAGTTGCAATAATAATGTTAATACCATTTTATAAGCATTAACCTCTGTTTTAGATCCACATTTAGAATGTTTATCAACGATCTAGTTTCATTAGCTATAGTATCTTCTGCTGATAGTACGCAACAATATTCATTTGTCCTCAAGAATAAAATTTAAAATTGTTGGAATATTCATTTAGCAGTACTGACCAACCATTTATAGAATGTAAAAATCATTGTATCTCTGCGGTAAAGAGATAAGAATGTTACAATTTTCAAGGAGCTTATCCTTAAGTTTAAAGAACTAAATATAATACAAGGCAAAATCTAAAAACTAGTATGGTCAAATTAAAAGGACATATTAGAGAGCATTATTTAATTCTTACCAAGAGAATTGCAAGAAAATTCCTAGAGGATTTCATATTAAGAGCTGAAGGATCAGTAGTCTAGCATGGCAGTTACATAGTTTCCCCAAGGTAAGTAACAGGAATGATTATATTAATAATAAGAACTAACAGATATTGGGCGCCTGGGTGGTTCAGTTGGTTAAGCGACTGCCTTCGGCTCAGGTCATGATCCTGGAGTCCCGGGATCGAGTCCTGCATCGGGCTCCCTGCTCAGCTCGGAGTCTGCTTCTCCCTCTGGCCCTCCTCCCTCTCATGCTCTCTCTCTCTCATTCTCTCTCTTGCAAATAAATAAAATCTTAAAAAAAAAAAACTAACAAATATTTACCACACACTATGTGTTTAAGTATGTTATATATAATATCTCAATTAATTCTTAGAGCAATCCCTATGAAGTATCATTCATCCCATTTTTCAGGCGAGGTAATTAAAGTTTGGAAAGTTAAGAAGCTTACTCAAGGCCACACTTTGTATAGAAAAGCATAGGTAAGCAATATGGAACAAGACTATGGAGGTTCTTAAATGTTTTTATAAGATGATTAGGTTTTCTTAAATAATGGAAACTTATGGAAAAGAGTAATTCCAGTGAAAACTTTAAAGATGGATTGAAAAGGCATGGAAAGAAACAAAATAAGGCTCCAGGTGGAGACCCTGTAATAGTACAGGAAAATTGACGGTGAATATCTAAACTAGGGACAAATATGAGAATCTTTATACTGACAAGAAAAGATGGGGCTTCCCTACTGCGGGGCGAGGGGGGGCGGAGCAATGGAGAGCAGAAGATGAATCTGGGTAAAGTTTTTATTTCAATCATGCTATTTAAGAAGGTGTAATGTGTCTTTTGGGAAAAAAATGTTCTCACAAATCTGATTAAATTTTGATATTTTTAATCTACAAATGCTTAAGTTTTGACTACCCATATTTTGAATCGCTTAATTTCTGGCCAGTAGTGCTTGATAAGTGATCAAGGTATCATTTTCTTTACCATTTGTTCTCCAGCAATGGTCTATATGAGCCTCTCCTTTCTTGTTTTTCTATTTATTATCCAGCTTTCTTGCTTTTCCAGATCTCTGCATATGATTTATCTCCCCTTTATCTGCTCCTGAACACGTAATCATTTATTTTCTGAAAATATATGAAGTATTTACTGTCTTGTCAATTCTTTTATAATTACTTTATATCCTTCAGATTCTTTCTTCATTTTATTCAAATTTTCTCTTGATACAATGCTCCTAAATATATGATTGTCTTCTCTTTCATATACAAATATCTAGTCAAGTTGACTTTACAGACTTATGGTATTAAGGATGTTACTTATATTGTCAATAACCCAAATTTAAAAGACTCACAATAATTTCGTTAATGTAAAATGATTTCTAAATCAAAATAAGGAAGAAGGGACTAAAATATTTTGAAACATGATTAATTTTAATACGTTTACAGGGAAAGAGTAAATTCACCAGCAGGAAAAAAAATACCAAAATTAACATTTTACAGGTTTTTAGTCTCAAAGCACAATACATTTTTCATAGAAACAAGTATATCACCATCACAGGTACAATAATATGGCAACATTTATACACAAGGCCATTTACCATTAATAAAATCAGTGGCAATGGTGATGCAATACGTTAGTTTATCTTTGTTAAAATTTTTGCTATCATACTTCCTGGCCTGCAGGAGTATTTGCCAGGATACAAAAGAAAAATGTGTGACCTCACTTTGAACAATACATAGAAAGCTCTGGCTGCCTGTGCTTAACCCTATATTTACTATATTATCACTAGGAATGTTTTCATACCACTACTCTACCATGGAACAATAGTTCATTCCATTTACTATTAAAGCCATTCCCAAGGAATCAAACATTTTAATAGATTCATTTGGATATTAAGGAATTAGTTTATACAAAATAAGAAGTGCAATATCAGGACATAATATTTGATATGCCTAAACTTAACAGAAGAGAAAAACTATACAGGTATTAAGTGGAAAACAATTTCAGATTATTTGGAGTAGGTAATGGCACAGTATTGAGCTGGGGGAAATGTGATACTATGGTTCCTTTAATTTTTTAAAAATTGATTATTAAATGCACCAGATGATTTTCTGAAGGCCATTCACATTCAATGTTTAGATTCATTTTATTAGTGGCATATACAAAGCACCATATAAAATAACATGTGAAATGTAGAACAATCATGACTATGTAATTAACTACAGAAATAACTGCTAAGAAAATATAGCAATATTTAACACAGGATTTCTAAAACCATTACATATTCATTACTTTTCCCAAAGTTAATTATGTCCCATGTTTAATTTTTACAGATTTTATCTATCAAGATTTATATGCATTTGGCACTTTTTGGGGGGCTGAAAATAGTTGATATCTTCTGTACAGTAATGTTACAATTTTATACAAACTTCAGAAGTATGGCATTTGGAACAGTCTTTACGATCGTCTTCCAAGTGTTCCATTTCACACAACAGCAAATACTCTGAATGCCTTTCCTCCTGGAGGATTCTGTAAACTGCAAAAAAATACAGAAAGTATATTGATGTCATCTCCACATATAATCCTCCAAATAAATCATGCTTACTTATGACAGTCAAGAAAGCAGCTCTATGAATCCAGATGGCCAACTCTCTTAGGCTACTATAATTTATAGTTATTGGAAAGCTTGAGTGAGGATGACATAATTCTTTAAATCTTGGTTGTATGCTGGGCTGCAAGTTTACTAAAATTTAAGGTGCACAGTGGTAATAATAGTATTTTATATATAACTTAACAGATTCCAGATCATGTTTTCCTGTATTACCACCTTTGATTTTAATAAAGCAGAGTTAGGCAGCCGTTATTCCATTTTACTGGGGGAATATTAAGACCCAGGTTTACAACTGACCGATATGGTTAAAAGTTAGCTGCAAGTTAAGAAGATAGTGATACTTATGCAATACTCTAGAGTAGTATTATTTTTGAGCACCTACTATGAATTTCCCAGACACGTAACAGATGCTAAATGCAAAGCTGTCTTTTTATAAAGATGGCACTCAGATGGTTATGTGAAAGGCAATCTAGATACCTTACATAGGACCATCCTTTGGTGTCCTTTATAGAAACTTTACTGTATGTACGAAACTTACATTGGCAAGTAACCCAGTAAATGTCTAAAAGTTAGGAACTTTTCTGTATCTATACAACATACATGAGAGTTAATGCTACTTCCCCAAGTACAAATGACTTGAAAAATCACTATAGGTTCTTTGCTCTTACCTTTTTTTAATACTTGATAAAGTAAGTCATATGCATTTTCCCAAACCACTGAAATATATAATAATAATGGACTGAATAGTATGAGATGACCAGAAGGCATTCATTTATGTCATACTAGGTATCCAACTTCTAATCAAAAAGAGAATTTGGTTCTGGGAAAAATCAGACTCGTTTTTTGCAAATACTTCGTCATATAACTGGATTAGAGAAATATTCAGTGCCCTGCTCACCTAGAAAGAATTACATATAAGAATATAAGAACTAATCTAGAAAGTCCAAAAGAGGATGAAAGAAATTTCCTTACTATAAAATCAATTAACAAAAGAGTGGTTCTGACTCATAATCCGATTTTCATGTTGATTTTTATAAGCCTGTAGGAGACAGGCTCCTCTGGTACTGCAGCTTCTCCCATCCCTAGAAGACCAATATTACACGGGGTTTAAAGGAAACATCCTGGAGCAGCCACGTAACTCCAAACCCATACTAAAGTGAGTTGGTTGTAAAGTAAGCATAAAGGGGTGTGTGTGGGGGGGGGTGTGGAGAGAGAGAGAGGGGAAGAGAGAGAGGGGAAGATAGAGACTATAAATATATAAAATACAAAATATATATGTATACATTTTTAAATGTACCTTTCTGAGAAGATTCCATTTTGAAAAGCAGCAGCGTAAGTCTTTCTTTTGTCCACAGGCATGACGTCAACGTAACCACCATGATTTCGCACCACCCCAGCATGTACTGCTGCCCTGCAGATACTGGACAGCTGAGGCGACAAGGAAAAACCCATCGTTATTAGGAAATTCCTGCTGAACTTGTTCAGTCTACTCTTCCATTGGACTGATATTCAGCAGTTACAGGTGGATGTTTTGTGCATAAAGGAATGTTTCAAAAGTCACAAAGTCAAAGCCCATTCTGAGGGAGTCTGAGGCAGATCCTAAGGGTAGCTACACTGGTAAAATCCCTTCACCATTTAATCTAACAAACATTTGCCTTTCCAAATAGCAGGCTTTTGCTATAGTGAAGCAATCAGATGCAAATTTGCTCCTTCTATCTCTTGAAGGGCCTATTTATCATTCTTAAATTTCAGCCTTTGCTAGTCCCTACTGGAGTCACTCTGACCAAATGTTCACAGGCTTATTACCTGCACCTCATTTATGTTCAGTTTGACTTACAAACAAATCATAGTTCTGTGTATCTTTACAGTCCCTTTTCCAAAATACAAGTGTGTATTAAATGGGGAGTTTTCTTCTATTGAATAATGTAATCTATGCAGAGAAAATCTGCCCAAGGAGAAAAATATAAAGAACAATCATAGCTTCTTACCTGTATTGGCAATGGCTATCACTTTGGTTTGAATGGTCTGACATAGTACTAGGAAAGTGCTATGATTACATTGTACCAGTTATACAGTCTGCATTGAATTGTATTTCTATGGAAGAGAAAATTATTTTCAGGTCCAACACTTTAAAATTATTAACTGGATTTCTGGAAGTCAACTCTTTTCCTTTGTCCCATTAAAGTCTTCTCCAGACTTTGATGTTTGCGCTTTAATCCTAATGTTCTACCAAAATTTGTCAATAGCTGAATACGGCCTGAGGAAATCCCACAAAATGAAACACTTGAACTGTTTCAGTATAAAACAATCCCCCTCATATCCGAGGGGTCTCTTCTGATCCCACTGGTGTGTTCTTTTTTTTTATCTCTATGCACATGTGCATGACTTAATGTGCTTTTTTTAAGTTCACATAAGCATGTGCATCTTACATGACCTTGCTTTATTACTGTGCTCTGAACTTTGTGGCATCAGTCAGAACTTATTAGATCAGAGAGCCTGAATGCCAAGCTGTTTAATCCTTTTCATGTTTTTGTTATATCACAAAATACCATATATCTAAAGTCTTGAATCCTTACTCTAAAGAGGAATTTTATTCAGTTTAAAGTCCCTCATTGGATTAATGTTTGTATCTAATATGGTACATAACAGATGAAATTAAAAATAATTCTGTACACATTTCAGTATTTATCTTGCTCTGTTAAAAGAGTATTATCAGCATTTTCCCCAAGGCAATAAAAGTGCTTAGATATAACATTCACTAAATCCAAGCACTTAATATGTTTTGAAACTATTGTTTTGCCCATAACTATGCAGTCAGCAGGCATTCCTATTTGAGCTCAAAGGTCAGAAGAGATTTTCTTTTTATACCCGCACTTTGTAAGAATTAATATGTCACGAAAGGAAAAAGAATTTATCTGTGAAAACAGTGAAACATTTTTAATGAATGCAGAAATTAACTTTATTTGTAACAAATGAGAAAAGTTCAAAGCAATAGAATGTACAAGTTGTAGCTGTATAAACAGAAAGAGAGAGACAGAAGGAAATGTGGGGAGGGAGGGAGAGAAGATATCTTTCCATATCTTGTATTCAAAAAGATAATGTATTTTGTAGGGGGTGGGAAGATTGACAGTTAATTCTTGAATCTCTGACTCTGTACTGACCTCATAATAGTGATCCTTATATTTCCAACTTACTTTTAAAAGGATCTACATAATAATACATAATCACCTATATTTATTGCCCTAAGGAATATAAAATGACCTCAGGATATAAGTTCTAATAAAACATTAACTCTAGAAAAATAGATGGCTGATAGGTATAGAAGTGTATAGGATATTTTGAAAGATTTTTCACCAGGCATGACTAAAATGAAAAGTTTTGGTGTTTAAAGGGACAATCTAAAAAGAATAATTTCTTTTGAAATCTCTGATAATTTTAGCTAGGCTTATTCATGTACACTTATTGATGTATTTTTTTGACAAATATTTATGTGCAAGATTATTTGCTTAATTTCTGATGTCACTGTGTGCTCTAAGTTTGTTAAGGCAGGATGTAATTCTGTCTTGTTCACAGGCTGGCACACATCAAATTGTTGATGAAAAAATGATGCATGAATAGCCCAGCTGTCGCCCTCAGGGAACTTCAAAATAATAAAAGAGGTGGAGAAACAATCATGACACTAACAGAATCAGCTACATGCTAAAAGGAAAAAAATAAAGTTATAGGGGTTGAAAGAAGGACTACGTTATACATGTATTAGGAGATCCCGCAATACACTCCACAGAGAAAGTGGCAATAATTTAGGATGTGAAGAATGACCATGATTTTAACAGACAGGAGGATAAGAAGATAAGCACAAATATGAGAACTAATAAATTAGGATACCAGTAAGACATTTAAGCTGCAGATACGTATAGTGCAAAGCTGAAGCCTGGGAAGGACTCAGATGTGGAGAAAATTTCAGAGCTAACACTGAACTAAAAACAAAAACAAAACAAAACAAAACCCTGGACCTCAATGAACTCACCAATAGAAATAAGATGGTAAATACTATTTTAGACCTCTTTTCACAAACCTATTTCTACAGTATTCTATTGAATATGTGTTGCAAGAGTGTATTTCCTGAATTTGTTTTTGCATCTCTCTGGCTTAGAAATTTGTAATGGTTTCTAAATGTCTGCCACATAAAATCTAAACTCATCAGCATCCATTTAGACTCTCCATTTACATGTTTCAAGAGCCGGATCCCTCCATCCCTCGCACAAAATTGGCTGCAGTCCCTTTGAGATTCAATGCTCACCTGTTCCGAGCAAGCAAACCTATGTGTTATGCGTGCATCTCACCTGCTGTCACCTCCCTGTCTTTGTAGATGCTGTTCATCCCACCTAGAATGTGTCCCTAATCCAATTTATCAACCCACACTTGAAACCTGGCTCAAAGAGCACTTGTCCATATGCAAGCCCTCCCAGCTAACAGTCCTTGTCGAACCCAGTAACGTTGTCCACTATAACATCCCTCAAGTGGTGTCCTTTTGTACATATTTTAATGTGTTATCTGTCCTTGATTCTATGCTACTTTTTAAGTGCTCCTTTGCCACAATATGAAAGATATTGTTCATACATTTGATAATTTCTTAATTATCAAGTTTACACTATAAATTACTGAAGAAACAAAAGGAAGATTTTAAAAAAGCAAAATGAATTTTCCTTCAGAAAGATGACACTGGACTATTTCATAGGGGTCTGATGTACAATGTATGGGTAGGATATAAAGAAAAATTTAGTAAAAATAAATTATTATGCACTCGTATTTGCATAAGGATAGTCATTTTGTAGTGTTATTGCTGACTAGCTTCTCTGAGAATATGTATATCCACATAGAATCTGTTCCCTATTTCTATATATAAATGTACATACATTTAAATGTGTGTATACATATATATACATGAATACTGAGAGCTGAATAAATTAAGATACTTACATCAGAATAAACTCGAGTTCCAATTACACGAGCATAATGAGGATTTGCCTGCATACAGTTACGAGGACAGTAGACTCTGAAAAAATATATATATATAAATATTAAGTAGCTGGTTACTTTAGTCATTCTCACTAATAAGACCACAGACAGGCACACAAAAAAGTTAACAGCATTCTCAATCCTACTCATCTTTTTTTCTTCTGAAATAGGTCAAGGTACAAGCCAGGCAGTAGATGCAATTGCTTCTGCTTAATTTACCCACTTCCAGCTTTTGGCACAAATGAGTTCTTTTCTTTTTTAACTTAATCAGGAAGCTTTCTAGTTTCTGGATTAAGCAGAAAGAAACATCAGGGTGCATTTCTGAGTATCTGGGAATCGGTACCCAATGTGTCTGTAGAATTTAGTAAACCGATAACTTGAAAAATGTGACTCATTGCCTCACACATCTCACAGTTTCTTTCTTCTGTGTTCACATCTTTGGTATCTCCTCTAATTTCATGGTTTTAATCATGACTATAAATTATTGATTTCCAAATTAATATCTCCAGTTAAGACTTCTTAATTCCAAATTTGTATGTCCTATTGCTTTTTCAATATCTCTACTTAACTCTAATAATCATTTCAAGCTTAGCGTGTTTAAAACCAAATTCCTAATCTCTTCCTCCGGCCCCCAAATCTGTTCTTTCTGTAGGCTTCCTACAATAAAGGGCAACTCCATTACTCCAGTTGCTCAGGCCAAAAACCTTTATTCTAGCCTCAATCCTTCTCTTTATCTCTCACACCTTACATTCAGTCAGCCAGCAATTTCTCTTGCTCATACGTTAAAATAAAATCAGAGCATTCTTAAACACCTCAGTTACTATAACCCTAGACTTTATGGTGTCTAGCTATAGGTTCCCCTGTGATCTCCCTGCTTCCAACATTGCTCCCTCCACTCCTGTTTTTCCCCATTTATATAAAAGCATGCCAATCCAATCATAACATTTCTCTGCTCCAAATACTCCAGTGGCTTTCCATCTCATTCAGAATAAATGACAAGATCCTTACAATGGCCAGTAAACCCTTCATATCTTGTTCCCCCCCCATTACCGTTCTGACCCTATATCCTCCTCTTCCGCTTTCTCCCCCAGCTCCAGTGATACTCACCTAATAGTTATTTCTCAAACATACAAAAAATAGGCTCTTCCTTAGGGCCTTTGCACTTATCTTTCTCTGCACCTGGAATATTCTTTCTCCAGATAGCCTATTGCCTTACTGATATCTGATTGGCTTAGCTCATTTAAATAACATATCCAAAAGCCCTTTATTTAAACATGGGGTCCAATTATCACTGTTTAATCACATGTTTAAAAACTCCACTCTGAGAGTTTAAGAAACTATAAAGTGGCACCTTTTTTTAAGCAATGGGCTCTTCAAGTCACACACACACAGACACTCGTGCACTAAAAGGAAATTAAAAACTAAAACTGGAAAAAAACAGAATTCATTTTAGTAAATAGTACACCAGAGTCTCAACAAAATGACTACATGAAAATCATTGTGTGATGAAGGAATCAATGATTTTCCCAAAAGTATTCGAAAAAAACTTTAATCACAACTACCTTTACCAATTGAAAAAATTCCTTAAGATAGCTCTTAAGAAATAGCTGCATTTCTTATTTCTAAAACTTATATAATGTTGTACAGCTTATCTGTTACTTATAACATCTAAACTAGAACCATTTAAATATAAATAATAAATGAGTCCGAGTTTTTATAACTTTAAAGAGCTGATTTTTATAAAAGATGCTATTGGGGATTTCTATAGGAGGAAAGTTGTCCCCATTGACTGTGAAATTTTCCCCATGTGTTTGAGAGCAGTTGGGCATTCACTGCCCATCCTATGGTAGTAAAATCATCTGCTCTGCTCTTAGGATCACACTGCAGGCTCTACCTTGACTATATTTAGCACTTGGTTTGTGGAAGGCCAAGGTCAGTTGCTTCAAACTGAGTTTCTACTTAGGCAGGTTCAGGTCAAAGAAAGACTGAAGGAGGTTTTTACTTGCTTGTGTTCTAATCTCTGGTTTTAACACCCTGTTTTGTATTACTGAGAATGTAGATAGTGACCTGGTAAGCATTCCTTTATATATAATTTAGTTGTAAGTTTTTAATAAAAATGTTGACACATTTTAATGATACCTGCTTTTACATCTTGAACATTCAGTAAGTTTCAAAGATCAAGTTATTTATAGATTATATGTAAATCAGGATATGATTTCTGCCCTCCACCTCATGCCCCATCCCCAGGTCAGGAAAAAAAAATTTTCTAGTAACACACACAAACACATGATATTTACAAGGTTATGGAACTAAATAATAGAGACTGCTTATTTGGGGCTATTCTGCCTGCTATGGAACCTCTTAAAGACACAACTGTACAGGGAAATATTGTTTTTATTCATGCTCGTCTTGAGCTAATTTCCTTTCATTTATCTGTTCTTGGCATTTTCTCCGGAATAGATTTATGTCTCAACTTATTTAAGTCACATGAAATTCTGAAACAGATGTACCAACCACATGGTTCCTTAAAAGTTATAAACTGCTATATAAATCATACCATTATAGCATAATTTATGAAACTATTAAAAATTTTGTATGAGAAAAGACAACCCTTTGTTTCATTAGTCTTTAAAAGAAAATGGGGGGGGGGTGGTTCCAGACTACTTAAGGTCAAAATTATTTATAAATCATTACTTCTACCAATTTGTTATGTTGGTAACAGTAAAAGGTAAAATTAATTTTTTTTAAGATTTTCTTTCTTTATTTATTTAGAGAGAAAGTGTACGCACAAACAAGGGGAAGGGCAGAGGGAGAAGGAGAGAGAGAATCCCAAGCAGACTCCATGCTGAGCACGGGGCTCAATCCCACGACCCTAAGATCATGACCTGTGCTAAAATCAAGAGTCAGATGCTTAACTGAAGCCCACCCAGGCACCCCAGTTAAATTTAATTTTAAAAATTTCTCTCTTGGAGGAATATTTTCTTTCCTGGAGTAACCAAAGAAATAGGAAACATTTATTAATATTTCACTTCAGTGATTTTTATTTCTTTTGGAACAATACTGCTATAAATTATTCCACAGATATTAAAATAACCATTTACTGAGCATCTACTAGAGGGAAGCTTTATCCTGGGGTGCCCCACAGAGATTATCCTTACTATTTGGTCCTCACAAGCCTAGTCACATGGCTGAGATAGGGCCTAGCATAATACTGTACATAGGGGGTATTTAATAAATATTCATGGATAATTCTAAAATTTTTTTTCATTATATCATAATGGTAAAATTTTTTAGCTTCATCTACCTTAAGAAGTAGCTACTTCTTATGTTATCACAGTCTTTTAGTACCTTGTGAATAACCAGTCTCATTCTTTAAGTGAAACACTGCTTTAGTTTTAAAAGGCTAAGTGATGAAGCTTTTCCAAAATAAATAAACTTTTCCATAAAAAGCTCCCTCAATTTTTAGTAATTACAGGTTATCAATTACAATTCTACCTCTAAATCTTACTACTGGTTCTTAGAATTAACATGTGATTTCTTTGCATTAATGGAGGAAGTGTGGATAGAAGTTAAGAATGGATGTGAAAAGACATATTTCATTTTTCCTATGTATGGTTATGATGTGGCCATAATACTTCTAACAGTTTTCACCTTAGTGTGGTCAAGATAAATGAACTATTTTTTCTTTATTGTAGAGTAGAGAAACTCCATTATAATTTTTAAAAAGATAGTTTAAAAACAAAAGTAAAAGGAAGGCAGAAGATGGTCTTTTTGACTTACCAATCGCAATTAGATTTATCCAATTTAGGAACTGGATGGAAATGCTTAAAAATATGTTACATCATTATAGTTTTTGTGGTAACAACTTGTTATAGACTGTTTGTGTACCTCCAAATTCTTATGTTGAAGCCCAACTCCCAGTGTGACTGTATTTGGAGATGGGCCTTTATGGAGTTAAATAAGGTTAAATGAGATTATCAGGGTTCAGCCCTGATCCCAGGGAAGGAGAATCTTCTCTCTCTGTCTCTGTCTCTCCCTATCCCTACCTCTCCTGTCTTACGAGGACACAGAGAGAAGGCTGCCATCTGCAACAAGGAGACAGGCTTCAGCAGAAACCAAACCTGTCCACACCTTGATCTTAGTCTTCCATCTTCCAGAATTAGGTGTAAATACATTTCTACTTTTTACACCACCCAGTCTGTGGTATGTTGTTATATCAGCCTGAGCAGACTAAGACGGAAGTCTTCACAGCACATGTGAACATACAGAATACACCCAACAGCCCTGGTATTATGGAACAGCCAAAAGCACCCTGGCCTTTGGAGAAAGCACACTGGGAGTGCCTGCAGTGCAGGTAGTTTGTGACGACCCACCACTCCTTTCCGCTTCGCAGCTCAAGACCATACACCTTTCAAAGCCTTCACACAGCAGAATTCCAGGCAAGAACAGTTATCACAGAGTAAAAGCCCCATGCATGTATGTTCACTGGTCAAGAAGAATGAGAAAATTTAGAAAACATTACCTTGGGCAATGTGAAGCAGGCTTATGAAATGGACAGAGCTGTTCCACAGTTGTTTCACAAGTGACAGCCTGGACTGAAGAATTGAAACACAAAACAATAAGCAAATCTTTGGCAACAATAACATGCAACATGGTCGTAAGAAAATAAGATTTAAAAAAGTGCTAACCTGTTACTTTAGAGACTGTGAAGGAATTAGCAGACTGATATTTGCTGAAGATAAAAACATAAACATGTCAATCACTTTTTAGATGCATCATCATCAACATAATTTCTGGTATTATTTAGGTCTATGAATACTTTGTTTCTTCTTAAACATTCTTACTTAAATATCTAAATAAGTAGTAGTATAAGAATATATCATCTATTTTATTCTAAATCCATATTACCTTCAAATATGAACCAAATCAATACCAACCAAATTAATCATTCTTGATATTGGAAAATGGTCTCTTCCCATGATCAATCTCAAAATATATAAATAACAGCATAAAACCACACAGATTTATATCTATATATTTGTTTCCTATTAAAATTAAAACTTTAAATATACTAATCCCCTGTCACCATAGAACCAAACTATTTAATCTCTCACAATAGTAAATACAAGGTAGTATTGTAAAAAGACTACTAAATCATAAGTACCTTAAAGGAATGTGTGTTATTCATTTTTTGTCCCAAGTGTCTAATAAAGTGTCTATGATGAATGAATTCCTCCTTATTATATGCATCATGCATCATTAAAAAGCAGGAATAGAAGAATAGGTATACCATTATATATCAAAATTTTAATTGGTTTATTTATACCCAGATTTTCAGAAAAATATCTATTACAAAAGATAAAGCTTATTTGTGATAGTATTTTAATGACACACTTTCACATTTCAGAAGAGTTTTTGTAATAGACATAATCAAAAACTAAGTTCAAACAAACAAGTAAATAGGATAAATGTTCTTTAATCCAACACCCAGTGTTTGGCTTACTAAAGCTAATGACTTTTATTATTCATTAAAGGTAATTAATAAATATCTGCAGAATTACTAAGTTAATCAATAAATGCTTCTATAAAGCTTTTACTTAAGAGAGTAATTGCTAATGACTGAAAACCACACACAAAGCCTTTGAACAAAATTGTATACATAGAATGTCATTCTACCAAATTTGCAAGGGTTTTTAATAAATTCTTTCTTATCATTATGAATCTTCTACTGTGGAGTTTCATGCAATTCTATAGTTACAAAGAAAAGAAACTATGTCGTATATCTTAAGAAGCAGCATTCCATATGAGGCCTAATGTTTGTTTTTTTACATAGAAGAAAGACACTAACAAAAAGTTATTTCAAAAGGCCATACTGTTCTAATTTCTATAGAGTATATATCAAAATATATAGTCTTCTAAAATAATGTTTCATATATTTAATATGAGAAACATTTCAAAAGTTAACGCTTTTATGTTAAGTTACATTTAGATGGACAAAGGTACATAATATATTACATATTTAAAGAACTTTTCAAAATGCTCGTAATTTTACCTACTAATCTAATTTATCTTACTAACAAAGTTATTGTTGCATGAAATAAACCATTTATCCATAAGCAGGGCAGGGAGAATATGCAAATCAATTAGCTTTCTCTGGGGTATTTTCTTTCATAGCTGAAAAAATCTGTTTTTTCACATCAAGAAAAACTGTAAATTTGTACATTCTCAGTGAAACTCCAGAAAATGTGGAGCTTTAGCATGTTCTTTATAAGTAAAACTGTTCAACTTTGAATTCACATACTTCAGCTCCTTTTTGTCTTCAGAAATTACAGAGCTCAAATGAGCCTTGACAATTACCAACTTCCATATAAATCCTTCTATGCTTGGCTCTGAAAGAATTTGTCAACTCATTATTACAATTTAAAATCATCTCATCCAAAAGATCGTTTGTGTACTTACCCAATTGTTTGAACACCATTTCTATTGGATTTGATGAAATAATGTTTTCTTCCTTGTCTAGTGATATCTACCCAACCGCCATCATTGTCTATTATACCATAATGAATTGCAGCTCTACAGATGCTGGATTGCTTGGAGAAAAAAGAAGGGAGCAAAGGATATTAAAATATTAAGAGTTCTCCATAGGACACATCTAATTACTATTTACATGACTTTAAATTAAACGAACATATCTGAGCAAAATATCTATACTTATATAAATTGTTATTTTTGCATTTAAAAAATCCAATATGTAACAAGATCCTATTCCCAAATCATTATATTTATAGTACTTACCATTTCATAATGTACACTGCCAATAACCTTAGCTTTACTATCCAAACAGCCAGCAGGGCATTCATATCTAAATGAAAGAAATTGGGAACAAATTTATTTTCTCTGAATGTCAGTGTAAAATGAAAATACATCATATTTTGTCCAGGTAATTTTGAGAATAATAACAAATATTACCTATTGCAGGTTGTTCCTTTGCACTGATCTCTTAATCTTACTTCACAAGAAACAATTTGGGCTGAAAAAAGAAAAAAATACCAAAATAATTTAGATAATGTAAAAGCTGCTGTAGTTCATAACATATATTCTCATGTCAAGCTTTTGCCATTTTAAAACTGTCCCAATTAATAAAATATAGTCGCATATGCCATCTATGTAAACCTTAAAATTTGTGTAAATCATGCAGAGCTCTTACACATTTGCTGTGTGCTTATGACTTCATTTCTGTTACTATCGTCTGCTCTTGTCCGAACATGGCTGTCATGGACTTGTGACTGCTGCTGTTCAATTTCATTTGTTTCTTCTTCTCGAGGAGGGTAATACCTGTCTGATCCTTCTGTTAGAGAGAATAGATATAAGAAACATGAGCCCACCTTAAATGTACACAAATCATCAAATAACGATATACCATTATATGCCTGGGTAACACTTAAAACTAGAAAACTAGAAAAATCTGTAGTTTTTTGGCACAGGTGTTGGCTTAAGGTAGTCGTCTTATGTAATGCATTGGAGTAAATAAAATAAATGTATAAGGCTCTGAACTCTTGATTCATCTTTGCTTCCATCTGGCTAACATTAAATGGAGTCATTTCTAAACTTGCTTTATATTTGAGAGTGGTATCAGGGATTGCCTTTCATAATGGTACCATGAAGTCTACACAGTGATCTAATGAAGTAAGGGCTTAGTGTATTTGAGTTTGTTTTCCCAAATGAAATCATATTTTTAAGAAAATCGCTTTTAAAATTTTCAAAAGGGTCACATTTAAAATTCTCCCAAAAGGAAATTCAGCTTAAAGAAGGCGTGCCATGCCCTTTTAATTTACTACAATGTCAGTTTCCATGGAAAGGTTTTTCTCTTTTAGAAGGAAATCCAATGTGCAGAAATTTAAACTTAACAATGGAGAATTTATTTTTTTCCAGGTTGGCATATCAAGAGCTTAACAGTGGCATAATTTGGAACGGTATGTTATTTTCATGTATGTCCAAGAACTCAGAACCTAGAAAAGGGAAGTATGAATTCAGAGGAGAGTCAGTTTTAAGTAAAATAGTGGTCACTGGAGAAGGGGCAAGTAGGGTGGAGGTTTAGGGATGGAGAAAATGGAAAACAGACTCACACACAATGAAAAATTCTTCCAGGAATGGAAAATGGCTCATATAACAGAGTGAAATAAATCATTACTTCTTGTCTGCTCATTATAGTAATGAGCACTCAGTCATCAAGGGAAAAAAAGACATCTCTTTATGAGTACCGAAAAAGGGCTGCATTAATTCATGTTTTCTAAAACACTTAGTCTACATTAATCTTCATTTGGTCATCATTAAGAAAAAAGTACAAGAGAATAGAAATGTTCACTTGGATGCCCAATTAAGAGCAGGATTTTCACAAAGCTTTGTCATATAAGTTTTCTCTTCAGGTGCTGTAAACAGGACACCACATTTATATGTACATTTTAGCACATCAGATGCATTTCAGAACACTACTTTTACAACAGTTTTACAATAATATGATAGCTTTTTTATGGGTTATTTTGGCATGAGAAATTATATATTCTGCAATAAGGAGCACAGAATTAGTATAATTCTTTGAGCATCATTTAGTAAGATTCATGAATAAGTATTTTGGCAAAAACTCTTAAAGTGCTAAAAATAAACTATTAAATTGCTAAATCCTTCAAAAATGAAGACTCATAAAAATAACTCTAGTCTAATAATATATTAAGGTGGCTTTTTAAAAATGTAAATGTACTTATCATTCTGGATAATTTCAAAGTAGAATTAGAAGTGGTTATCTGAAATAATGATGAAACTTTCCTTTAAATACATATTTGGTATAACAGACTTATTAATATCATATTTTTAAAATATTTGTAATGGCCTCAAAATAGTTTAAATAGAGTTCTGGGAATTTTAATGTAATAATTAAATGTGCTTTTTTGCCTTTTAAATACAAATTAATGTAGAAGTTGGATTACAATATAAATCAACCTGAATTTTTTTTTAAAGATTTTATTTATTTATTTGAGAGAGAGAGAATGAGAGAGAGCACATGAGAGGGGGGAGGGTCAGAGGGAGAATCAGACTCCTTGCCAAGCAGGGAGCCCAATGCGGGACTCGATCCCGGGACTCCAGGATCATGACCCGAGCCGAAAGCAGTCACTTAACCAACTGAGCCACCCAGGCGCCCTAAATCAACCTGAATATTATGACACAATAGCACATACCTTTGTAGCACAGATTCTCTCTACAGCCGCCTCCAAAACTAGGTGGGCAAGCAGAACAGGGCCGTCCATGTTTATAGGGAGCATGGCCCCACCAGTTTCCCCTTAAAGAGATGATCCACTCTATTAAGAGTTGGTCTAATATAGCATAATTTATAAGACATTGTGAAATATTACTATTTTCTAAGTAATGATTTTGGTGTGTAGATATAAAACATTTATATCTTTCATCGCAGAGTCCTTTTAGTTACTAGGCTTATATATGAACTGCTGCCTCATTCTTTTGAAAATATTTTAAGTAATTTGCTATGCATATTGTTAAAAACTACAAAGTTAAACTTCCACAGAACACTAAGCTCTGTTATGGGATATTCATCCATATTCCATTTGTTTTAATGAAGAGATTTTAGACTTAGATTTGACCCTACATACAGTTTGTAATATTTTCAACATAATCATTCAATGGTCTTTACACAGGTGAAAATACATTTCTCAGTTAATCTATAGTTTTTCATCTCTAATAAATCCAAATTATTAAAACTATGTAATATAATGTAACGAGTAAAACTGAAGATATAAAAATGCAATTCCTGTCTTCACAAAGATCATATTTTCAATTTTCATATTCCTCTTAAGCACTGATTTTATGCATCAGGCAACCATTTTAATTGTTGCCATATTAAATAAATAGCATTAAAACAATGCACTTTAGTCAATAATACATACTGAAAATGAGAAAAAAATTGAGAATATAAAGTTTCTCCATGTTGTTAGGAAAAATTTACATATAAAGGTAATGTTTTGTCTACTTACTTTGGGGAATAATTGCACACCAAGTAGACAGCTTTGGGCCATATCTGTCCCCAGATATTCATGTTATGACACAAATTAATGGCACAGCCTATTCTGCTACTTGTTGCCCACACCACCTATGTTAGAGAAAGGAAAAGAAAGGCTCAGAAAAAGTAGGCTGAGACAAAGTAAGACAACAACATATCTCAGAGAAAGATGTATAAAACTGAACTTGAGAAATGAACCTTTATCATCCAGGATGAAATAAAGCAATGTCAAAAGGATATTTTTCCTGAGACTTTGGGAAGTGCTTGATTCAATTTAAAGAAGAGTGCTACAGGTAAATAACTCTAGCTATAATAGGTAAGCATCTTCAAAATATGCATTTACTAAATAGTTCAAAAGTTACATCCTCACAAACCTAAATGCTGTGTTAATGTATCTATAAAGAGGCTTACCTAACAAAGGAACAGAATTTCTCATCTTAAACTGTACTGGAAGAAAAATGTTGAGGTTCAAATGTCTTATACAATGTGTATTTTCATAGTATAACTGTTTATTAGGGAATTCAGTGCTGATCTTAATCTTGTCACATGCAAAGGCAGACAGAACAATTTGCTTTATATTCACTAATAATCAGCCATAGAGATTCTAGTAACTCAGATCTGTGGTGAGATTTATCTAGTTGTATTTACCCTTAGTGGTTTGATTTAGAGGTTTACAATTTACCCAATACCAACTGTGGACATTGAATAAAATACATATAATGTATGAAGTGTATTTATATATAATGTATAAAATGTATACGTATATATAAATGCTGCACACATATAAATACTGAGTGTCATGGTAAATAAAACTATATTTTTTATTCTTTGGAAAATAAAAAATGATACCTGACTTTGAAGATGGTAAATTTCTCCCATGTGCATTTCCTGGGGCCAGATTAAAAATGTTTCACATATAAAATAATTGAAATAATGTCTTTTTTAAATTGATGTTTGGACTTTTCCTAGTAATCACTTTTATTGTTTATAGAAGTTGGTAAGTCTATTCTACATAAATCAATATGTTTTTTAATAACCACACCAAATTACCTAAGACTCACATTGAGTAGCTTAAATTCTGCCACAGTTACACAAACTCGACTTAGAAAAATGAGGTATAATGTACCCAAAACATACCTGTGTATAATGAGTACACACAGGACCGGAACATCTGAATGGACAATATGGGTTGCATTCATGTTCATACGGGTAGCTAAAGTCTCTCACTTCATCATACCATGCTTGTACATGAAATGTTGGGGGCCTGTATCTATTTGAAAGACAATAACCACCAAGAGTAAGTAAAGTGGGAGAAAATGTAACACCAAATATTGCAAAATAGATTGGTAAAGTTTGGTAGAGAAATATTCTTGTGTAAGTTATTAACACTAAATACTTATGGCCATTACGTTACTTGTAATGTTATGTCAATGATTTAAACAAAAAATAAGTCTAAAATATTGCTGGTCATTCTGCTATGACATTTGTTTTTTTTATTATTTGTGTTGGTGTGATCATTTGTTTTCGTTTCAGGCTTTAACCCTTAGAAAATTTTCAGTGCTGAATTAGTATTTCAAGCACTTATATCATCAAAAACAAAAAAGTTACACTTCACACTACCTTCCCCAGTGTGCTCCCAAGTTCTGTCCAATTGATGGAAGCAAACTTGCAGGTCCATGTTCCCACAAACAAGTTTCAGCCCAGGATTCTGCGGATCTTTCCAGCTCTACATCCCATGTCTATAGTTTAAAACAAAAACAACATACAGATACGGATAATGTATTTGTTTGGAGTTTGGACATTTCTTCAGAATACAATATGCTTCAGTTCAGTTTCTTCCGTTCTTACTGCTTTACAAAGTCAACATCTTAGTCTGGGTTCTCACCATCTCTCACCTAGATTTTTGCACTAGTCTCCTAACTAGTCTCTTTGCCCCTATCTCTTATCCCTCCAATCTGCCCCACAAGTGTTTAGAATTACCTAAGTGAGCACAAATATGCTTAGGGGATTGCTCCATCTAAACACATCCAACAAATTCCCACATACATAAAGTCCAAGAGCCTTGGTCTCACTGTTCCTTATCATAAAACATGCTGTTCCTTGCTCTTGCTGGCATTGTTTCCTCTGTCTAAACATCCTTCTACCCGTTATTTGTCACACAGATCCCTACTCTTTTTTCACAGCCCAGCTTTAGATAATACATTTTAGACAACCTTTCCATTTCTCTCAGATGTAAGCTATTCCCTCCTTGGGGCTCTTAAAACTTTGTAACACTTTTTCATTTAGCAGCTATTACAATGAAATGTTAGTATTCGTCTACATGTCTGTCTCTTTCACAAAACTATGCATTGCTTGGAGGCAGTCATTTAATTCACACCGGTATCTTTGGCCTATTTTTCATGTTTTCTGTCTATCATATAGACAAGGTGATTAATAAATGCTTATTGAGTATACGAATGATGAATGAATCTGATTCCTATAAAAATACATATGCATTTTTATATATAACATTCAATGAGGGTGATTAATTTGTACTTCTAAAATAATTTACAAAGGAATATTTCAAATTACAAAATTATTACTGAAATTATCTTGTATGTCCTAGGTTTAATGTTCAATTTGTTAATCTGAAAAACAGGCAGTGTAGTAGCAAGTGTGGTTGTAAAAACATAAGACTTAGGCAGAGCTGGGTTCAGTCTTGGCACAATCACAGAACTCTGGGATAGGAAAATAGTCCTGGAACCAGAACATGAGGATACAACCTAAGGTGATAGCAATGAGGCTGGAGAAGAGCAGATAGACTGAAATCATGTTTCAGAATTTAAATTCCTAGAAGTTGATGGATGACTGAATGTAGGTCATGAGGGGAAAAAAAAAAGATGAAGATGATGAAGGTCACCAAATTGGGAGAAGAAAAATACAGGAAGAGAAATAGATTGTTGCCATGGAAATATATTTAATGTATCTCAGTGCAAATTTCTAGGGTGCCGCATGCGATGTCTGTGATATATGCAGCATGTGTGCCAAGGAGATAGTGGAAATAGATGTCTGGGATTCTGGGAAAAGAAATCTGTGCTGAAGATATGAATTTTGATGTTATTCACCCAGAGATGACTTTCTTCAGGAAGATGATACAGAATGAGAAGAGGAATGAAAAGAAAATTCTAAGACTACCAACCTTAAAAGGGAGAAAAAAACAATGAATTAGTAAAATAAACCAGGGAAAATGGGATCAGAAAGGTAAAGGGAAAACTGTAAAAGGATTAAATTATAAAGCAACGGGACAAGGATTCTAGGCATAGAGAGCAGGCAAAAGATCAAATGCCACAGAGAAGTCCAGAAAGACAAGAGCTGCTAAGTGCTAATTCATGATCAAGAACAGTTTCAGAACAATGCTAGGGAGAAAATCAGAACACACGGGCACATACTTGACTGGAAGGAGAAATTGGAGAAAGCAAGTGTGCGTTACTTTGTTAAGACTTCAGAAAAGAAAAAGAGAGATATGCAGAAGCTTAAAAAAAAAAAAAAGTAACCTGCCAGGTTCTAGGGAGAATTTGTAGTCGTGACTGTAGGCCAAAGGAAAGCACACTAGGGAAAAAGAAGCACCAAAAAAAAAATAAAATAAAATAAAATAAAAAATAATAATAATAATAATAAATAATAGAAGACTATAAGTAAAATAAAATAATGGCTTGAAGCCATTGTGGTGATTTTAAAACACTCTTCCCCACAAAGGTGGAGTTGAATTCTCTCCCCCTCCCTTCAATCTGAGCTGGATAGTAACTCCCTTTTTTTTTTTAATTATTATGTTCAATTAGCCAGTATATAGTAACTCCCTTCTAATACATAGAATGACACTGTGAGATTTCTCAGGCAAGGTTACGAAATACAGCCTCTATTCAGTCAGTTCTTTCTCTTTTAACACACCCATCTTGGGACACCTAGGTGGCACAGTCAGTTAAACATCCAACTCTTTGTCAGGGTCATGATCTCAGGATCATGATCTCAGGGTTGTGAGATCTAGCCCCAGGCTCCATGCTCAGCATGGAGTTTCCTTGGGTTTCTCTCTCCCTCTCCTTCTGCCCCTCCATACACATCTTAACAGACCTGAGCCAAGAAATTTTAGTCTGGCTGCCCTGAAGACATAGCTGGAAAGATATTGTAGAGAGATCACACAGAGAGTGAGAGAAGCAGGAGGAATTTCGGTTGTTTGGGCTTTCCTAGCCCAGGCATGAGGCTGTCAGTTTGCAAGTCCAGGTCACTGCAAGCAAACATGTGAGAGACCCAAGTATGACCCACCAAACTTAGCCCTTAAAAGAGATCATAGGACCCTTATTCAAGGCCAAACTCTTGTTTTATACATGATTCTATAATCTTAGATGTTAGTTTTTCTAATGAAATTGAAGATGGGTACTTTTTAAAGAGGATAAACAACCAGCTCCAAATTCACAAATTCACAAATATGTTATATTGCAAAAGTCTGCTTACATACCTGTTGTATAGAAATTGAAATAAAATTTAAAATGTATCATTCAAATGCTTTAGGCTAAGTTTTCTTATCTGCAAAATGAAAAATAGAAGATAACTCAGGTCCCTTCGAGGACTAAAAAATTCAGTTATTGAGTATGTACTATGGATAAGCTGTTTTTTATGGCATGGCAAGTTTTCTATGTAATGCACTAAAAATAAGGGGGAAACCATATCAAATGAACTATAGTAAGGCTAAAATAGGGACACATTATTTTAATATAAGAACTGAAGCAAAGGAGCATGCAACTAAAATTTACTATTAATATTTAACAAATATTAATTAGTGATAGTTTTTAAAGTAATTATTTAAAGAATGTAATTAAGCATAGGTGTTTAGGTGAAGTTCAACAATACGAATTGAGAGGATCTTTAAAAAAACTTAATGAAAATATAGCTGTCCTAGAAGAAATATTATTGTGAAAACAGCATGGAATGTGTATTTTTATGCCACAACATTTTATTACATGTTTTAAGACCACCAATAATTTATACCCATCCCATTTAAATGTAAGTCAGTCTCTATACATTTCTATTTAAGTTCAGGTTTGTAAATAAAATCAAGATGGCCTGATGGACTTTTTTTTCCCTCTCTGAACTATTCACCCAGCAATAATTTAAAGCCAAACCACACTTAAAATTACCATTTCTTTATAAAATGGGTACTTGAGGTGTGTAGAAATGAAAACCACTCTATTTTCCAATTACATCTGTAAGCTGTTCCTTCTTAGACCACAGTGAAGTGTTCAATGAAGTTTTATTACAAAGAAACATTTAGAATACTACTAAATTCTTTGTCTCCAATGATATTTTTAAAGCCAGTTCAACAGGGAGGCTTTACCATTTACTGTGTATGAGAAATCCTAAATGTTAACAAAGGACTGTCAAAAGTAAGCCTAGAAATACAAAGTAATGTTAGTACTGAAATATTATAGTGGTAAAAATTGGAAAGTATGTAGCTATCTAGACATGTACAGAAAATTCCATTGACTGTTATCCTCTGTGAAACATGAGTGAACATACACAATTCATATTCCTACCAGAATACCTGCAATCCTGCTCTAATAATAGGTGATGACAGCTAGAAACCACTTAAGGATGTAGTTTTTAACAGAGTTAATATTAGTAGGCTACCAGTAAGTTCTATCACTGTACATTAGGTAAAAATTGTCATTACTGATATTACTTTTCCTTTCTCTTTGATACTTGAGAATAGTTTTGTCTCTTAAGAATGATTAAGTATTTTCAAATATATGTTCTTGACCACAGTAAATTTACAACTCTTTCCAGATTAATAAAATTTGAAAATTCATGTCCTGGGAAATGTATCATGATAATTAGTCTACCAAAGAGAATACCCTAGGTGACACTGAAGTAAAGTAGTTTTACAGACTTATATTCACCAACAAAGAAAATATATAAATGATTAAAGACATTTTAAATTGACCAGCTTTAAATGGTCTGGCACCTTTAAATGCACAAGAAAATTATTGACTAGAAACTCACATAATTTCATAATTGTTAAATGTCATTCTAAGTAGGAAGAAATAGGATTGTAAGATTTTCTAAAATTTTACGAAATTCTACCTAAGTGTGATAAAGCTACAATAGGTCTTTTCAAAGACATGCTGAGAAAAATGTCTTTAAATAAAGAAGATAAACTTTTTCCAAAACAACTGGAAAATATAATTAATGTTGCAATTATCTAAAAATGAAAAGAATATCTAAATAATATAGAAATAATGTACTAATTCATTACACCTTTTTGCAAAATTGATACAGTTTTAATGGACTTCCAAGATAAATGCAAAAGACAAAACTGGTCTTTGACTATCATACTATTAGGTAGCCTAATCAAACGACAAGCATCTGTCCATGATACAATTTGCAATTTAATATGGACTTTTAAAACCTGTACTGCTTTCTGGCAAAGTAACAATATTATGAAAACACAGTGGTTTGAAAAGACAATTGTGTTGAAAGTCCAATCTAGGCTAGAAACTCTGGTCTACTTCCTACCACTGAAAACTAGAAATAGCATGATGAAATTATTTTTAAAAATTATCTTAGCATTTGCAATAAACTTTGACAAAAGGAATTTCACAAACATTCTTGTTTTGAGACATATATATCTGCATACCTAACTTGGAATACCACCCTTGTATCTCCAAACCTACCTCAGTCCTGAGCAGTCAATGGCAGTCAGAAATAG